CCCCTAATTCCAATCATAAATCGCCAGCTGTCTAATCACGTAAGATTACGTTAATTTTGTTCATAGATGTAGCATTGCTCTTTTAAGAGCCCTCCCTTTTATTTTCTCGGGTAAGGAAAACAGAGATTACTGGTAATGGTTCAAGCACATTGATGAACGATCTTGAGCTAGTTGAGGCCACAACTCATCCATATTGGAAGCTTCTCACTTGGCAGCGGCTACAGTTTCCAAGTGCCTAGAGATCGCTGGCGAACATATTTGTCTTTTTTTTGTAAAAGACAGGTGAAATGTATATCGCCTACAAATTATTTCTCTAGAAGGAGTTCAACGTAGCCTGGATTACATTTCCACTTTTCGCCTTCACCCTCACATTCTAAACCCACCAATAGTTCATAGAGGAACAGGCCGAATAGATCAACACAGGTGGAGATCTGTCAGTTAAATGTTCAAAGCAGGATTTGTTAATGATTTTCCTTCTGTATCCCTGTTTTATTCGACGCAAATATTTACATTCTTTTATTACTCCTGATAGCATCAGCCACACTCCCAAACTGCAAAATATGTACACCTGAACACACGCAAGTAACTAGCCACTGTTACTGAAAACACACAACACAGAAGTGATCACATCACCTTACTACAAGCACCTTCTGACTGATTATGAGCAAGGGAACTACTAAAAAGCCAGCACACCCCACCTTCACCTAAACTCTGTACCCTAGGCAAGCTCATCGACGCGCCAGGAGCATCGCAAGCTGTACTATGTGCAGAAGCCAGTGGCCATCAGAAAAGACACCACCTGATCATTGCTGGGGGTTCATTCATCATCAACACGGCAGGATAGAATCTCGGGTTTCTTCAGCCAGTATTGCGCAAGCCTCTGCCGCGCATACTCCATGTAGTCGAAGTCGATATCGTTGACGTGTTCCTGCACACATGATGTAGGTTTCGATTAGATCGAATGGAAATGGTGTTCATGGTCAGTGGAGAGGATCAGTGACAGAGATCATGCAAATGAGCCCACCGAAATTATTCCCCAGAGGCCCCAGACGAGATGGCTGGCGAGTGTGTACTTCTCAATGTTATTCATCAGATCCTTGATCTTTTCTGCGTCAGGCTCCTCACCTTCAACAGATGGCACAATCAGGCAATGGTGTGAAACAAATAGCTCTAGAAAATCTGCATCTGCGGAACAAGAGGTTAATGACAAGGTTTCTGCTTACCTGAAGAGCTCAGGTAGGTCTGCACAAACCTCTTCCGCTCATCGACATCTGTTGCAGCAGGAGTAGTAAGCGACAGTAAATAGACAGTGTAAGTTGATCAAAGTATCTAAAGATGGAAATTAACAGTGCGCAAAAAGCAGTAGCTTCGACAAATAACCGCCATGCAACATACCTGGATATTTTGTGTAGTCCAGTACGTGAGGCTCTTCTGAATGGTAGTCCGCAGCCATCTCGCAGAAATGGTTTGCGATATCAAAAGCAATTGGGTTAAAGCTTGCATACTCGTAGTCCTGTAAAGGTGTGAAGAGAGGCAGTAAGACGGGGACAATATATTTCAACCTTTGCTATGCTACAAATGGATAGTTTTAGTATGCAAATGAGATGGTTAATTGTAACACAAACCAAAGTTTCAAGTTCAGAGATAGGCATGGCAGTCAGGATAACATGGAGGTTACTATGGAAATAAAGAATCAATCCTTCCTTGATATAGTGTGTTGTCTGAGAAACAGAAATTTACTACTCTTTGACTGTACCAGCAAGGGCAGCATAATGACACCGCAACCTGACGAATGAACAGAACTAAATGACTCAAACATACGCTTGGTTGCAATAACTTACAATGATGGTCAGTGCTTTGGTCTCTTCATCAATCATGATATTGCCATACTGGAGATCATTGTGGCAAAATCCTATGCACTGGTCTTCCCCCGAAAATTCACTCTCCAATGCATTGATCTCCTTCTCCAGGCTATCCAAACGGAACTCTTTGGCTTCGTCAGAGGGGCAGACGCTCTTGGCAGTTTTGAGCCAGTTCCTATGAAAGATGAAGATACGTATTTTCCAGTTAGTACTTAACTTTCATTATATGTTTAGTTCTAGAAACTGTGTAAATACAACGATAACTGACTAAATGAGATTAAAGAAAGATAATTGTGTAACTGAAGCTTCCGCAATACCTCAATCTATCCCACATGAGGACACGTTTTGGACCTGGCATGTCAAGGTGGTGGAACTCCCTCAATTTGGATGCTATAATAGCTGAAATCTCTGGATCACGCAGGTCAACAGCTGAAAGTGTCTGACAGGAATATTTTCATCAGTTTTTTCTGTATATTTCTTCATTCTGCTAACATATCTCCTGTCAAAGCAAATCTGGTGTCTTAATGCAACATATATCCTGCACGTTTCTGTTTCATTTAAAAGAAATAAAGGAAGCGGAATATGATTCCGTTGAAAAATGATGGGAACTAATGGTGAATAAAGAGTGATATTCCCACCCTAAGTATTCCTTCTAAACTAATCTCCCCCTTCTAAGGTACTTTATTTTGAAGATGATTCCCTCCATGTCATGTCACAGTACTCGTCTATCCTGCTTAGTCCAAGTCAATCATCTTCTTGTCCCTCATTTATTCAGAAGATATTTTCAGTTGAACATTTTGACTTAGTCATGTCAAGTAATTCAGCTGGTACATAGCTAATTATATAAACTAAAATGACCCTCTACAATACACAGTACATCGGAATATGATAAATTTGAAGTGTTGAATTAGAAAACAGATTACAGTACAGCTATTAGATATCCTCAAGAAGCAGAAATTTCCGATAATAACACCACAGAAATAATACATCTACTACTACCTCCGTTCCTAAATATATGATGTTTTGGCAGTTCAATTCTACTGTCAAAACGTCGTATATCTAGGAACGGAGGTAGTAGATAATATCTTCAAGAATCAGAAGTGTCCAATGATGGCAATAGCACGGAAATAATACAACTGTTCGATATTATCTTCAAGAAGCAGAAGTGTCCAATGATGGCAACAGCACGGAAATAATACAACTACTAGATAATATCGTCAAGGATCAGAAGTGTCCAATAATGAGAAATTTGAAGCGTTGAATTAGATATCTTGAAGCAGCATAAGTATATATCCAATAATGACAACAGCATGGAAATAATACAGCATAAAAATCTTGGAAGGAGCAGAAATGTCAAACGATGACAACAACCAAAGTAGCCTGATAAGTTAAGAGCAAGTACATATTTACAAGTCATACGATTTCTGCCACAAGTCTCTCATAAGCTAGAAAAAAGGCAATTAAAAAGCACAGCACGCATGTACAGTGATATGCAATTTAGTCAACAACGAGATAACATAAACAATGTTAACCCGTATTGAATTGGCCATTCACCGACGACTTGAAGAACATCTTGGATAAGTTTCTAAGGGTCAAACGATTGAAATTGCAGGCAATAATACAATCCACACCGTCGGTGGATGAAGAATTATGGCACCTCAATAGTCAATACAGTAAACAATTCGTCGCTATCTGATACTGTGCATGATGACATTATATCAGGGGGGCTAAATGGTGTAATAACAGAACAGATTTCTTCGTCCTTATCCCTCCAAATACGTAAATAAAGCTTCCTTTGGGAAAGGAATCAGGAAAGGTTGTTAGCCTGGCAAATAACGGAGGACGTTTTCCTCTGAAAAGAGCGGAGGGCGTGAGAAACGAGAGCGGTCCTCGGAGAGGACGGCAGGATCGATCGAACGGGACAAGAAACGGAACGAGACGTACAGAAGAAATTAAAGAAAAAAAAAGGGGGAAATAATGAGAGCGATGGATGGAGGGAAGGCGCACCCTGGCGTGGATGAACTCCTCGACGCGGCCGGTGGGGAAGCGGCCGAGGAGGCGCGGGCCGTGGCCGTGGCGGGACATGCACTCGAACGTGCGCACCTCGTCCTCCCGGTCGAAGAAGACCTCCACGCCCTCGCCGTACACCCGCATCAGCACCTTCCGGTACTCGCCCTCCCCCTTCTCCTCGCCGCCGCCCGCGCCGCCGCCGGTGAGCCAGCGCACCTGGTACACCTCGTTAGTCATGGCGCCCTTGAGCGGCACCACCTCCAGCGCGCGGCAGTCGGCCACGTCCGCCCACTCCGCCGCCAGCTCGTGCAGCAGCCCCCGCGCCTCCTTCGGGAGCCCCGCCGGCGCCGCCGCCGCCACCGCCGATGCCGCGGCCGTCTCCGCCAGGCTCTGGCCCTCGCTCGCCACCATATCCACCTAGGCCGCAAGGAATCTTCCGTCCAGAAATGGGAGGGAGGGATCTGCGTGCTCCGCGCGCGCGCGTGTGGTTCTCGATCGGCTTCCACGCGGATCCAGGAAGGGCCCCGCGTATAAGTAGACGGTTCGTTTTGCCCGCGGCGCTTTTGCAGATTCGCCCTCCACAGGTGGGCGCCGTTTTGAAGAGGCCCCCTCTCGTCTTTGTCCACAAGTGAACCACTAGTCAAACTCAGATCCCGTTTTCTTTCCTATATGGAAAAAAGGAAAATGGTTGTGTTTTTCATTTATAAGAAAGCGACATGACACGATGGAATCTCATTCGCGAAATGTATATACATGGTCAAATTTGCATCCACTGCACCACACACTTGATTCGCGTTGAAATTGGTGCGAAGACATCACCGTCGATCTCACTCTTGCCCCGTCCTTCCATCAACATAACAAGATTGGTCGAAAGAGAACTACAACATCTAGTGCCTGTAGTCATCTCTAGATGGTCCATGGATTTGACTGTACTGCCATGAATGATTAAGAATAGAACATAAGTTTCCCCAACAGAGAAAAACATTTACCAAGATCATAAGTTCATAATCCATTTGTAAGAGCGGATAAGCTTTATTATTAGCCCCGCCGACCGATCAAGGCGGACATGCATGTACGAGTGTTTGGTAAATTTGTTTTTTTTCCTAGGGCGCTAACAATTATCGTCTGGCCAAAGATCGAAGAGCACCTAGACAGAGGATTACATCGATCAAATACCTCTCAGCATGGAGAAGCTTGTTTAGAGTCAAGGAAAACAGCTAAGGCCTCCTTTGATTTGGAGGAATTTCATAGGAATTTCAGAGGATAGGATTCGTATAGGATTTTTTTTCCTTTAGAGCCCTTTGATTCATAGAAATGGATTGCTATTCCTACATAGGATTGGTTCCTATCCTTCACATTTCATAGGAAAATAAAAATGAGCTTAGACTCAATGAAAAAAATTCTTTGGTGTCAACCAAATGGCATCTCATTTCCTATTTCTACTCATAGGATTTGAGATACATGTCATCTTATTTCTTACAAAATTCCTATTCCTACGATAATCCTATCCTATGAACCACATGTGTCGCATCATTCATTCATTTGAATGTATATCCTGTCTAAGATTCGCAATTGACAGGTCCCCAACCAAGTAAGATTCCCGTCTCCATGCATGTACCAACTGTGCCATGATGCGACTACTTAACATTGACCCTTCTGCAGCAATTTTTCTCATAACCAGAGGGTGTCCGCGCAAAAACACCGGTCCTTGCTGTCATCTGGTCCCACTTGGTGGTGCCTACAGGCTGACAGCCTGCCGAGCACATGGTGCCACAAGGTACTGCCACCTAGGCAGGGACCCCATGTGGGCTCTGGTGAGATCATCGACGAACCTGAGGCCCGTTTTGGCCCAGGAGATAACTAGGAGTACTCTGTGTAGGTAGACCTATTTTTTGTCTCAAAAAAAAAAACGTAGGTAGACCCATTCCTGCCTCCGGGCTCGCGTTTCATCAGGAAGGATATAGAAAAGCAAGAACTGTATTTTTTTTAGATGAAAGCAAGAACTGTTTCTACTTTAGAATAAACCACAAGCTAATTATTCCCTGAGCCAACTTGTACAACAGAGAAAGGGAACTGAAACTGGGGCAAAGAGCGCACGCAATTAAAACAGGAACTGAGATCAACAAAAGAACAGGAACTGAGATTTAAAAAAAAAAAACAGGAACTGAGATCAACAGATAAAAATATAACGCATTTCGCTCCATCAGTAACTCAAGGAACAGACAGAGACATCACGCATTCTGCTCCTTCCGTATGCCTGTCATCCCGAAACACATGTTTCTTTCGCAGTTCATCATACATCCGGAAAAGATCGAATCTGCAAATGCAGGATAGTTTAAACTGACAAACTGCTCATTTCGCATACCGCTCAGGCTGACTATTAGCCAGTAAACAGGTTGTAGGTAGCTGTCAAACAGAAACCTGGAAAGCCATGCCGCTGTAGAATATCAGCGGTCAGCATGGCAATTGACGTGCTGAGAATTCAGAATTTCACACCTGTCGCCCTGTGAGACTGTCCTCTGAAACTAGACTCTGTCTTCAATCACCCACCAGCTTTGCCTTACAGACTCTTGTAGCACGAACAAAAAATCCACTCTTGCAATCCGGTGCTCCCCACCGTGTCATGTAGTAACAGCTTCTGACAGCAGCTTGATGTACCAGTTCTCACTGCCCTGCCTCGCCTACATGAGGATGAACACAGCTACCGAAAGGACCAAGGACACGGCCAAAACTCTCAGTGGCACCACCCTTTCCGAAGCGCTCAGAATCTGCACCGGGAACACGCATCCTCCCTGAGACGCATTCGTCGTCACGATCTTCGCGAGGCCTCCGAAAGAGCACGCCCTGACGTCCTGATCCATGGTCTGGAAATACATGTTGAACGCGTACGATATGTTGCCGTCATGGCTGAGGCCGTTGCACGAGCACCCGTACCCCAGCGCCGTGCAGTCTGCGTTCGAGCACGCGTAGTTCACGGAGGCTGGCAGCTCTCTGTACCTATCCTTCAAGTCCTTGTCGAACACGCACCACTGCGATGGCAGGTACTGCACCCCTTGGACCCCGAGCAGGTACCTGTCCTGGCCATTCCCACTGAGGTCCATGGGGAACTTTGGCTTCCCGTCGTAGGTGAAGAGTCCCCAGTGGCGCTCGAAGCGCCCGGGCAGCACGCTCTTCTGGTTCTCGTCAATCAGCGCGAACAGGTAGGCGTCCATGTGACCAGGCCTCAGAGGTGTCCCGACATTTTTGGCCATCTTCTTCAGAAAACCATCGTAGAACTTCTGTGCATACTTGACGTTGGCGCGCTTGTCGCCGTCTGTTGGCCAGCCGATCTCGCCGACTATGATCTTCATGTCGGGCACGCCGGCCTTCCTTAGCGACCAAACAAGGGTGTCGAAGTTGGCGTCGAACACGTTGGTGTATACCAGCCCTTTGTCAAAGACTGGCTTGCTACCACCATCAAAGAAGGAGAAGTTCAGAGGGAAGTTTGCATTCTGATAGAGGCTCAGATACGGGTAGATGTTGACAACAAAAGGGGCATCGTTCCTATGGAGGAAATTGACAATGGAAACCATGAGGGTGTTGATATCCTTGCGGAAACTCCCAGCAGATGGCACTGGTGTTTTCTCTGGCGAGTTGTAGACGTCAGCGTTCAAGGGAACAACAGCCTTGACCATTACGCCAGCCTCATCTAGAGCTCTTTGCATGTTCTTGAGCGCAGGAAAGGTAATGTTGATGAAGCTGCCATTGTAGCTCCTCAGAAATGGTTCATTGCCAACAGCCACATACCTGAACAAAACCAATGGATGTAACCAGAGTATCACACAAGAACTAAGATGAAAAGTTGCAAATAAATAGGTGGAATTAATAAAAACATGCACAACATGTCCATCGAACTCAAATAAATGTTTCAGACATACACTGTTAAGTCATGAGTCATTGAGGAACTGAATACGAAAGTGACTATTCACGAGTCACGGCGCATCTGGCCTAGTGCAAAAGATACAAAGATTTGTCTAGTTTTTTTTTTCTTAAGCATCATCTTAGAGGAAAATACATAAGGCTGCAGTAGAAATGTAGTAAGACACTACTAGTAGCACACATGAGAACATTGTGACAGTGGCACTTGCAGAGCTCACTAGCTTAACATGACGGCTGCAGCTACACCAAAAGCACTATATGCTTCTCACTACAAAACTAACTGAGCTATAATCTAAACTTCTGAAGTCCCTGAATTCTAGAAATGGTCCAGCAGTACCAAATTATGGTGCAACCTAGCTAATCCCTAGCTGTTACTCCATGCCATCACCAATAAAATACACGCAAGCTATCATAGTAAAATTTCTCATGCGTATGTAGGATGTAATAAACAGTAAAAATCACGTAATACTCCATTTTGACTATCGCTGGTAATCTACAATTACAAACATTCGAATGATATGGCACTTGATCAGCCCAGTCCCGTGTTTACTCATTCGACGTTTTGAATAAGCTTTCACAACAATCGATCTAGTAGTGTAAATATACATTGAATATAAATACACTGAAGCACATAAACAGCATAAGCACAGGAAGCACTAGATATACCCTCCCAGTCCCAGTGTCCAGATTTATAATGCCATGTCTTATGGCTGACAGACACTGCTTCAAGCACATAGTATACTTGATCCTGCACGTCGAACCATATACGTACTATCTTACATGACAAATCAGCATAGAGAGCATTGCACAACCAAAACAAACAAATAAAAACATGGTAGCAAAACATATAGTGAGAATTGCCATCTACCAGTCCTATGTGACTGAACCAAACATGCACAGCTTTCTTGCGCCATCATCATTTTTTTTTTGAATTTTCATCATCAACTAATTAACACCCTCTGTGACGGTGCATTAACATAGGCATAAGCTGCACTACAACTTGTTCATGCCGCCTCTTTGAACTATAAAACTCTGCACTAGTACTTTGGCATGGTGTCAGACTTTGTACATAAGTACATGACCCGTATGAGGAGTAGTTATCTCGATTGTGCAGTCACGAACATACAGAGCATTGCATGATTAAGACAACTAAATAAAAACACGGTAGAAAAACATATAGATAGAATTGCCATCCACCAGTCCCATGTCACTGAACCAACATGCACAGCATTTTTGCCATCATCAACGAATTAACACCCTCTATGACTGTGAACAACCATAAGGCATAAGCTGCACTACAACTTCCTCATGCTGACTGTCCGAACTATCAAGTACTGCTGCAATATTACTCTCAACACGGTATCAGGCTTTCAACATCATAAGTACATGATGACCCGTATGAAGAGTAGTTAACTCGATTGTGCAGTCACGAACATATATATGATGCACTTGCCTTAACACATATCTCCAGAAGGGACCTGAATCGAGCAACA